TTGGGTAAGTCGCAAACCTGGGTAAATCCTGCCCTATATGCCTGTACTCTTGCAGCCGAATGTGGATGAATGGCCGATTTCTTTTTAGACTTGCTCACCTTAATGTCACTGGATGACATTAATCCTTAATGCTCCCAGCATCATTTATTCCCCCTTGGTCTAGCTTCTTTTCCAGTTTCCAATTTGATACAATTGGACCTTCTCCTCTTCCCAACACTTTGATTATCTCCTCCATCTTCATTTGTTAAAATCATTTTGCTTTTTATTTCACTGAACAAAGATAATAATTGGAAGAAAACTAGTAAGACTACCAAATGGCTAATAAAGATATGAAAGGCTACTTAACATCATTAGTCACCAAATGCAAATTAAAACCACAATCTGATACCACTACCACTCACCAGAATGGTTAAAATGACAAAGCCAGATAATAATACAGTGACTCCTCAGAGATACTGTGGGTTGGGTTCCAGACCACTGCCATGTAGCAAATATCACAATAAAGCAAGTCAAATTAATTTTTTGGTTTCCCTGTGCATATAAAAGTTACCATTATGCTACACTGTGGTCTCTTGAGTGTGCAATAGCATTATGTCCAAAAAAAAAAAAAAGTTTGTACCTTAATTTGAAAATACCTTATTGCTTAAAAAAAAAAAAGTGCCAATAATCTTCTGAGCTTTCAGGAAATTGTGATTAATTTGCCGGCAGAGGGTCTTTGTTTTAATGACGGCTGCTGACTGATCAGGGTGGTGGTTGCTGAGGTTGGGGTGACTGTGGCAGTTTCTTAAAAATAAGACAATGATGAAGTTACCTCATCAGTTGATTCTTCCACAAACAATCTCTCTGTAGCATGCGATGCAGTTTGACAGCACTTTACTCACAGAACCTCTTTCAAAATTGCAGTCCTCTGCTGCTTTATCAACTAAATTTATGTAATATTCTAAATCCTTTGTTGTCATTTCAACAATCTTAGCAGCATCTTCACCAGTAGATTCCATCTCAAGAAACCACTGATGAGCAAAACAAATATAATAATGAAAATTTTGAAGTACTGCAAGAATTACCAAAATGTGACACAGACATAAAGTAAGCAAATGCTGTTGGAAAAATGGCACCAAAAGATTCCTTCAACATAGGATTGCCACAAACCTTCAATTTGTGGGGGGAAAAAAAGACGCACAATTCAGTAAAATGCAATAAAGCAATGTATGCCTATAATAACGAGGAAGCACGTGGAACTTTCACACCTTGCTAGTGGAAGTTAAATTGGTTGGCCATGTTGTAAAATTACATGACATTATTCACTAAACTCAAACATATGCATACTTGAGTTTCTCCCCTTGATGGATACCCAGTTGAAACGTATACATGTTGTCTATAAAACAAGTTCCAGGAGGTGTACAGGAGCATAACTCAGACAAAAGCTGGACCCAAACCATCATCAACACGAGAATGGATAAACTATGGGCTATTGGTATAATGGAACATTACATAACAGGAGGAGCAACTGAACTACGGCTACACACAGGAACATAGATAAGACATAATATCGAGTTGAAGGAGCTATAAGCAAAAGAGAATAGAGTACTTACAACAAACTTACAGACCAACTCATCTGTGGTGTCAGGGCTGTACTTATCTTTGCAGCAGCGGGGGTAGTAACTGGAAAGGGATACAGGGGCACTCTGGGTTGCTGGTAATGTTCTGTTTCTGACCTAGGTTCTAGTTACACAGGTGTGTTCACTTTGTAAAAATTATTGAGCTATAGATTTGGGATTTTTGTACTTTCTTGTGTATTATACCTCAGATAAAATGTTAGTGAAAGAGAAAGACATTCCACAAACTCACAGTACCACATGGACCCATCCATGTGCATCTGACAACCTGTCAGCAAATCCTCAAACAACTTTCAAAGCATTTCTAGAATTTGACCACTCTCATCGTATCTACTTCTGTAACCCTGGTCTAACTCACTTTCGCTAGTGCCAGGATTATTGCCATAACCTCCTAACTGGCCTCCTGCTCCCTACCACCCCGCCCCCATCCCTCTCCCAACCAGTCTGTTCTCAGTGGAGCACTAAAATGTTAACCAGATCAGGCCAGTCCTCTATTCAAAACCTTCCAGTCGCCTGTCTCACACAAAGACAAATTCCATGTAACAGGTTACAAGGGCCTTCACGGTATACCCTTCTCCCCTGTCCTGGTACCTCTGCTCCATTTACGCTAGCCTCCTTGCTGTCCTCAAATGTGGCAGATGAGCTCCTGCTTTGGGACCTTGCAAGTCTCCTCTTGGCCTAGAATGCTCTTTCCTCATTTATCCTCATGGATCATGCCCTTTAGTTTCTTCAGATCTTGACTCAAATGTTGCTTTTTCATCAAGGGCCTCCCTGCCCACAGTATTTACAAGGTTAATCACTCTCCCTCTCTACCCCACTCTCTTAAGGTCTCTATCACTTACTTCAATTTCTCTCTAGCACCATCTCCTTCCAACATACATATATTTTACTTATCTGTTTACAGTAGTTTCCTGCTAGTATGTGAACAACGGGAGCATGAGGATTTCTGTTGACTGCTATATCCCCAGTGTCAAGAACAATGCCTAGTAAATAGTAAGAGCTTAGTTAATGTTTGTGGAATAAACACAGGAGTTATGTCAGTCCTTGTCATACACTCAAGCTTTATAGAGATGGGAACGATATCTTAATCATCTTTGTAATAAATGACTGAATGGAAGAAAGATCTTTGGTCCAATTAAGGTACTTAATTAAGGCAGTGTGTATAATTGTTCTATTTTTAATGCAAATACTTGACCTCTCCAAATAAGTCAGGCCATCTGTTCCAAACAGTATTATCAACTGCCTTTTCTTCCTTAATGAAATTTTCACTCAATCAAGAGCAAAGATACATAGGCAGGGCATACAACAGAAATATAGTTGTTAAAGCAACGCTTACCAAATCAAAAAGAGGAAACACTCAAACCTTGAGAGGTAATACAAACATCATTGCTCAACTCACAATTTTTCTTGATCAGAGGAAGGTTAAAGAAACAGGTATGACTCAGAGGAAAGGAAAAATCAACAGATATGATGGTTTAATTGTATGAATTCTAAAATACACTAAACAAATGGGGGAATAATTTGACCCTTCTGATATGAAGACCTCGTGTTATTAAATAGAGAGCACCTCCTATTCACCTGAATGTACTTCTAGAGAAAATTTCAGTGCTTGGAAAATTCCAACAACTTATCCCCCCAAAATGACAAGTGCACATTTTTATCTTTAAGAATTATAATTTATTTCACATGATAACTTACAGAGGAAGTTGACCATGAGACCAAAGACCCGAGTTCTTTTTCACATGCGCTAAGGGGGGCTTTTCTGCCCACATCCCACAGCCCCCTCAGAGGAGGAACAAGGACAGTCATAAAGGCTAATAGAGAGGTCCATGATCAGCACTGCTGGGAACAGACCTCACAGGGCCCATCTGCTGGGCACATGGCTACTCATCGGTCATCTCTGGTGGGGCTGGGAGCAAGGTGAAGAGGACTCAATATTGCAATGTAGGTAAGGTGGGGTGGTCAAGGCCCATTACCAAAGGAGTACAACCCTACAAAAAAGTAACTTATAATTAGAAAATTCACTGTGTCAGTGAGTTGCAGGAAAAGTTGATTGTGAGAGAGAACTTAAATGAATCAGAGAGGGACACATTAGTGACATCATGACATCACAGGATCATTCAAGTTACATTAACTTGTGTATAAATCCCTTTTCCACAGCATACCATACGCAGAAGGATAGCTGCACTATGTATAAGATATGCCTCTCTTTTTATATAACATCCCTTGCCCATCACAGAGGAGTACGACGAATAGCCAATTGCCTTCCAATTGTTTAACATTCATCTCTGGAGCTTCAGAAAGAAATCTTTCACTGGGCAACATTTATTGGGGGTGGGTGGGAATACACACACACAATTGTCTCCCCACAAGGAAATGTATAAATCGCAGAACTACAAATAGCGACCGTTCCATTCATATACTTAAATAAGAGTTTTGACTAACAAGGTCTAACCTGGAATACCCAGACTTCCTGATTTTGCGAGGCAGTCCAAGTTCATGCTTGTTTCCCAACATAATTATTAATAGTGTGGTACCCCTCTTCCCCATTAAAATGTGTTCCAGTTTGGACAATAAATTCTATGATGGCCTTGCCTAAATCGCTATTATCTTTCTAATGTGACATTAAGCTTTGGCTGTGAAGCTGGCAAAATTAATGCTGTAACTGACCCATGAGGATATGGTGGTCAAATTGGTTAAATTGTCCTGCCTTTTCCCTTATGGGGAAGTCATGAATCTGTCAGTGTAAACAAAATGAGGAGGGCTTTTAATAATGAAAGATTCAATTCTGTTCCTCTATATTCTTTTGAATCTATTTGCATACCCTGCCGTGATCACTTTGGAATAATGGAGATTCTCTTGCCAGCCACCAGGGATTTTAAATGTCACAAATAGTTACTTTTATCTTATTTCTGGCTTGCTAGACAAAAAATAGAAGTAAGGACTTTGAATCAAGAGCTATTTATTTTTAAGTTAATAGTACAAAAAGGCCCTCTTTCCACTAAAGTCCCACCCCATCCCCACTACCAAAGCCTAGAATTATTAGAACCAGCGTTCACACAGAGTGGAAAAGCAGACACCAAGCATTCAACTGAAATCCAGGGTCCCCTGCCACACTACCCTCCCCTTAGTCTCCCAAATCGTTGGTTTGATTCTGACTCTCACTCTGTGAGAACATCAGTGGGAGAGCTATTAGGAGTGAGGTGAGTGCACACCCAGTGTTCACCCAGGACAGCAAGTAATAAGGCAGGAGATCTACTTACCTGCACTCCCATAGCAGCCCCCTGACTTGGGGATCCCAAAGATTTTAGAGCCCCACCGCACCCCCTGGGCATGTCTGCATATGTTCCTGCCCCACAGGTAGCAATATTATGATGGGATATCTCAGAGTTCAGTCCCATAGATGGCCTTATAACGTAAGTACTCTTCTAAGCACTGAAGAACATTGTCATCCACCTTTGGGTCAAACTTGTTGGCCAACAGGTGATGGTTTTGAAGAATCCAGTGCAGGTCCCCAATCCCATAAATACAGATAGACCGCTGGTGGATTCCAGAGCAAGGGGCATAAGGTGCCCCCATACTGATGTCTCCTTCATGGCTTTGCCACTTGACCAGCCTGGCAATGGCTATCATGTCTGAGATGTGAAACTTGGGATGGTAAGGAATAGAACCAGGCATCCATGGTGCACGCTGAAGGGTAGCCCATAGATGCTCATCGGGGCTATAGGTGTCCTTTACCCATTCAATCAGTCTTCGAGACTTGGGATTCTCTAAGACATGTCGGACGAAGTCTCGAGAAGCCACAATATAGGCATTCCCTGTGAATATAGGTATATTCTCAGGAGGAGGATCCTTCATCTTGTTGGTTATGTACAATGTGTCTGTCACCTCATAGTGATATTTCCAGCGAGACTTTTTGTACTCAGTAGGTTTTTCTGACTCCATACTATTCTTCCCATTCAACATCTTGAGGGCCAGGACTATCTCCGCATTGGTCTTTATAGGAAAGTCTGTCCCACATGTATTTAGTAAGTATTTCCATGGCACTGAGCTCCGGAGCAAGTCTTCCATACAGTTCAGGTCAGCCTGCACCCTGGACCAGGAGGCATAAACCACCCGAACCAACTTACTGGCTATGAAGACATTTGGGAAGCATGAAATAATCGCCTTGACTGCCTCTTTGAAAGTTTCTGGGGATTTCTCATCCACATGGACACAGTATATGTTCTGAGGAGCATACAAAGCTCGCAGCAGTCTTTCAAAGTTTTCTATCTTCTCATGGACCACCATAGAGTATGCAATTGGGAAGTCTAACTCTTCTTTGCTCAGAGGGAACCGTATGAACTTCCTTTTGGCCTTAAAGTGCTCACAGTCTCGGGTCATGTTAAGGTAGTCCGTGTCTGTTAAAGGCTTCCGCTTCTTCTTGACCTCCAGGTTGTCCAGGAGAGCCTCCGACACTGCTTGCCAGTCCCCTCGGATGATCCTAGAACAGTTGATGGATCTCTTTGCTGGCAGCTTCAGCGACTGGTACAAGATGTCCCTACAGTGCTGGCTTCGAAAATCTCTGGACTCCAGATCCAGGGAGTCAAAGTCACATTTCAATCTAAGAGAAAATCTCAGGGCAACAACAGCCAGCAGCACATAGCAGCCCAGGGCCCACAGGTAATGCTGCCGGCAGGGCTTCTTCCACCAAATCATCTTCATGGAATGAGAAACCAGTGGAGTTTGGGCACAGGAAAGCAAGTAGAGGATGGAAGCCTTGGACAGAACAAAATGCCTTCAATTACAAACTAACCCTGAATGTATTCACAGGAACAGCAAGTTCAACTCCAAAGTGATAGCAAAGAGGTATTTCTTCTCTAGACAAGTATCCTTGGTCAAGACCTGCCTAGGAACCTCTTCCTCCCAGCTTGTCCATGGAGGTCTATAACTTGACCCTACAAACTAGCTGTTCGTGCTGGGCTCCAGATCTGGCTCCACCTCCACCCCAAGAGAAAAAGACAGGGAAGCAGAACTGAGTCCGCTGACGTTGAGTAAGAGGAAGTCCCTGCCCACCTTTCATTCCTCCGTCTTCACCTCCACCCTTTGCCACTCGGTTTCTAACACAGCTCTTATCTGGGGCCTGGAAATTTTAATCATTGTAGGGAGACAATCCAGGAAATTCAGACTCTCAGCATCCATTCTAGAAATGCAAAGATTTAAATCCTTTTAAAAGAAAAAGTACAGGGGCTCTTGGCTGGCTCAGTTGGGAGAGCATGCAACTTTTGATTTCAAGGTTGTAAGTTCGAGTTCCACATTGGGCGTGGAAATTATTTACAAATAGACACTTGAAAAAAATAAGTAAAATCAAAAGTACATTGCTAGCTCTTGTTTGGCAATTTGTTATTAGGCTGCTTTCACCACATGTAATTCATTGGTTGGTATCTAGCCACCCTTAAAAAAAAATGTTCTTAGGGATGCCTGGGTGGCTCAGCGGTTGGGTGCCTCCCTTCAGCCCAGGGCATGGTCCTGGAGTCCTGGGATCGAGTCCCACATCGGGCTTCCTGCATGGAGCCTGTGTCTCACTCTGCCTGTCTCTCTGTCTCCCTCTCTCTCTGTGTCTCTCATGAATAAAAAAATAAAATATTTTTTTTAAAAAAAAGTTCTTGAAGTACAAAAAATTGGATATAATCAAAAAATGCATTGTAATCATTCATATAATTAACTCAGTCTATCCGAATTTAAAATATATCTATACTCAGAGACATACAGAGCTATGCATACACAACATTTAATGAGTGCTTTCTATGGGCCAGAAATATTTCTTTACATTGTCCAATTTAATTTTCACAACATACCTGAAGTGCAGTATTATTAGGCCTCTTTCACAGATAGGAAAACAAAAGCTAAATAACTTGCCAAATACCGTGTATATTTTAAGAAGGAAATATGGGACTCATCCCCACACCCCTTATCCCCAGGGTTTGTTTTTTTTTTTGTCCATAAACCTAATATTTCTTCCTCCAAACCACAGCCACCTTTTAAATAATACAAAACAGGGTACTGGGTACCATCAAAGAAAACCACATGATATAGGGGGGGAAATCCCTAACAGGAGTGAAACAAAATGTGACAAATCTTCCCAACAAAGACTATTTTCCTTTGTTGTATTCTCTTTCTAAGCGTAAGATGATGCCCTTCTTGGTCATAACTTTTATGGGAATCTAAAAGGAAGAAAAAAATGAATCATTAAGAAAATTCTCACCTTTTTAACACCTTTGTTCTTGCTTAGGAAAGGTCACTTGCCAGGGTATGATTGTTTCCAAGAGAAGATGGACTGGAATCCATGGAAGCACACATGTGAATGCCACATCCCCTTCTTCTAACCCCTCCAAAATGTTTCCTGATATTCACAGGATGTCCACGAACAGTCTCAGGCTCCTCCTCAGTCTCTGCAAAGTAGAGAGCAGCAGGTGACTCTATCACTCACCTTCCAGTTTCCTGCTCCTAGATAAGAGCACAAGCTCACATAATGTCATTCAAGAGCATATGCTCAAGTATGCGTCATTCGGGGAGGTGAATAAGGCAGGAAGAAAATGCTGGCAGTATCTGAGAACACAAGCAGGTATTTTGGCCAGAATAGCCGTCTGTAACCATGCTCTCCTGCCACAAAATCATTCATAAAAACCTGTCAATGCTCACACAAGAACCTGAAAGCTTTCCCACCTCCCTTAGCAAGGAACCATAGAAACACAGATACACCCATGCCTCAAACCTTTCTTATTTTTCTTTTTACTTTAGAAAAAGTCCGTACAACCAGAGTTTGTTCTCCAAATGGCAACTGCTAAAAAAAAATAAATAAAAATAAAAAAATAAAAATAAAAAACATTCCCATTTACCTGTCATTCATTGTTGTTAATAATCTGTGAGTTGTAGAAAATACCCACAGGGTTCCGGATTGTAGACCTCACTCACTAATGTCTGGGAGTCTAGGGTCTTGGTGGTGGAGGGTATGGATTAATGTTTTGGGCTGTTGAGACTTCAGCAAGAGCCCCAGGGGTGGCTTGGGCAATACAGGGTGGCGGAAATGGCTTCTTCAAAACTGCTTATACTGTTTGCCACTATTTCTCTCCTGAACCCAACCCTCCCCACCACCTGCCCCGAACAAAGCAGCTTTCCTGGCTAAATATTTGAGAGGGCAAATTTAATATAAAGAACTTAAATAAAGTTAAATAGATAACTGTAGGAGAGAGGGAGGGGTGTTAGGACACCCTAAATTAGGGAAGTAGCAATTGCTGTAACTAGCCAGAGGAGGAATGAAGACAAGTTTTGGGAATTTTTTAATTTAAATTTTAGGAAGAAGGGTGCCAAACAAGCTGAAACTCAAGACCTCTGAGATAGGGACCCCAGCAGCTCCTCCTGGGGTCTGGGTCTGGGTCTCTGACCTGGGAGGAGGGCCTCCGGGCTGAGATCCCACCCTGACGTCTGCCCACCGTTACTGTTACTGGATTCAGGCAGTTACACAAAGACCCCGCCCCTGCGAGGTAAACAGGCGTTGACATGGTGATGCTCACAGAAGCAGGAAGTAGACAGGAAGTAAACAGGAAGTAGGCAGGAGGTAAACAGGAAGTAGGCAGGAGGTAAACAGGAAGTAGGCAGGAAGTAGACAGGAAATAAGAAGTAGACAGGAAGTAGACAGGAAATAGGAAGCAGACAGGAAGTAGACAGGAAATAGGAAGCAGACAGGAAGCAAGAAATCCCGCCTCCAGTCCCTCCAGCGCCCCCTGTTGGCCGAGCCCAACTGGGGGCAGAGCCGACAAAGCAGAAATCCCAGCTGATTCCAAAATGTGGGCTTCATCGGAAGACAATGGCACAGTAATGGAGGTGGGTCACAGTTACCTCCTCCCTGCAAGAACTGGTTATGCAGCCACAGTACAGTCTGGGGAACTTAGGTCTTTTCTTTTTGGGGGCCTCTTCTGCCTGTTTCTGACTGTGGAGATGGAGACAGGCCAATGGCCAGGGAGCCATATAGGGTCATCTGTTCTCCCACTTTTATTGACCCCACTCCACTGGCTCCATCTTCTGTCGGCTTCCATCATTCAGAATCTGTGTGGCTCTCTCTTCTGAGCTGTGACATTTCTGAGGCAAACACAAGGAAATGGCAAACGCCCGTTCAAGTATCTGAATCTGCAAAAATCTCTCCAATTTCTTTATGTATGACTTTTCTTTGATGGCCTCCTCCAAGTCCCACCTTCTTACCCCTAAAAATCATACCACAGAATCTCTCAATTAAAGGAAAATTTTAAACATTTGATTTTTAAGGTAGCCAAAATAGGTATCCACTCTTATTTGTTAAATATATGCTAATATAACTTCAATGGGTTGTAAAATACGATGAAATCGGAGAGGGAGACAAACCATAAGAGACTCTTAACTCTAGAAGACAAACAGGGTTGCTGGGGGGAACGCGGGTTGGGGGATGGGGTACCTGGATGATGGGCATTAAGGAGGGCACTTGATGTAGTGAGCAATGGGTATTACACAAGACTGATGAGACACTAAACTACTTCTGAAACTAATAATACATTATGTTAATTAATTGAATTTAAATTTTAAAAAATCAACTAATTGTAGATATAGTTGGTTGAGATAATCTACATAGTAGGAATACCAAGTAGGTAGTACTTAAAGGCACATCTGGGTTTTGGTAAGACAGTGAGGTCTGAATCCCAGGTCTGTCACCTTCGAGCTGTGTGATGATGGGCAAATTCTATAATCCATCTATGCTTCAGTGACTTCCTTTGTATCATTGGGACTAATACCAATACCTATTTTATAGGATGGCTGTGAGGGTTAAACATGATAACACATGTAAGAGACTTGGCCTAATACCTGCCATATGCAGGTCCTTGATGAAGCTCACATAAGCTCCAGTGCCAGCCCACAAAGGCCTGTTTTACAAACAGGATAGCTCAAGGAGGGTACAAGTAGCACTCTTGAACTCTGGATCAAGCGAAGGTGTTGATGCTGGTAACGTGGCCAGATGGGTAGACCAGCAAAAGGCCTGAAAATGTCCCCCTCTCTGTGCCCCGAAAGAGATTCAGTGTAAGTGGTCAGCGTGAGCCCCGCAGGGATGAAGGGCTGAGCTGCAGCTGAGTCCAGGGAAGTGCAGGAGAAGGAATGAAATGGCTGGAGGTGCAGGAGAATCAGGAGCCAAGCAACCTGCAGAGGTCACTCAGCGGACATTCAGGATGGTCGCAGCTTCCACACTTGCAGTCCATGCTGGCCTTGAAGAAAAGATAGGGGTAGGCGAGAGGGAGGCAGCGGTCCCACGGTGCCTGGGAACCAGGCTGTTTCAAGGCAGGACACCAGACCCAGAGCCCAAGGCCCTTCATTAGAGTTTCTTCTACCCCTGCTGAACCTGGAAGCAAATGTGTCCTAGAGTTCAGGATGACAGGAAGATATTTACGGTCCCGAGCACTGAAAATGATGAGGGTACTCACCTCCCTCGACTATCAAAAATAAAAGCAACACGAAACCAGATAATAAGTATAAGAACACAGCTATCTTTGCTCCCTCAGGGACCAGTAAGATTCATGAGTTCAGCCTCCCCACTGGGGAAATAGCTTTGCTCTCATCCCCGGAGTTTTGAATTATAAATCCTTATATGATTGTGGGAAGACCTAGGAGTTCTACCAAGAGGGAACCTGGACACTCAGCCGGGT